TAGGTCGTTCTTTGGGCCGGCCCGTTATGTCACGGGCCGGTCTCCCTCAATCAATGATCTCAGACTTCAACTCATTGTCCCGTTTCGGGTCGTTTTTGTTCTCCATAACACCAACTTTATTTGTAGGTACTTGTGAATAAAATTTCATATCGTATTTAATTGAAATTTTATGTAGCTCTGCATAGTCACATATATTGACCCATATAATATTGAGAATGCATTTAAAATAAATAAATAAATATATATATATATATATATATATATATATATATATATATATAAAAGATTGAGAACTACATATTCTAATAAGTTCAATATAATGTTTAGAGCAAAAGTTTGTATGCTAGATATTTAGAAATCAAAATAAGATATTGAAAAATACAAATATAAAAGTAAAATAAAAGGCGAAGCTTCAGAATTTAGACCCATCTTTTTTCTTTTTTAATAACAAACGCTTAGACTTGAAAGGATGTATTTATATATAAAAACATAATACAAGTAATATATATTTCGAATATAGGAGAAAGTTTAAAAATAGCCTCATCATTGTCATTATAAATTTAAATCTAATAATTATGAGCATCTTTATACTATATTTGACAAAAAATAATTATAAAAAAAAAACAAATTGAACATAGTGAGGATGTGATGCATAATTTTAGTAGAATCGTACAAGTGAACTTTTGCTTAGGTTAGATATGAGGTGGTGGTAACTTAGTCGAGGTGATTATCTATGTTGAGAACTTGTAATTGTGGGTATTCTGCCCTAACACATTATGATACTTAAATTATTATTTAGATCGAGGTGGGTGTCGAGTTCTGCTATTTATAGCATACCTAAGAGACGATCGTACCATCTAGTAGTTTCATACCTAGGTTCAATGTTTCCCATCGTACATCAGGAGACACGTCAACAGGATATTCGCACGTCATATGTTGTGCTTAGAGACACGTTGGTTGGATACTCGTATCTCGTAGTCTTGTGTCTGAGGTGAGTTCCAACCTCGTGTGGATGCATGGGTTCCACCTCATGTGGTCGAGATGAATTCCACCATCTCTTGCCAAAGTTGTAAATCTTTGGGGTTAAAGGTTAGCTCTAACCTTGTTTAGGGTCGAGATGAGTTCTAATGATAAAAGAAACTACCTCAATTATGTCTAATAATTCAAGTGTGAATATTTGGAGACTCATATCTTCCAACTTCTTTGTAGTCTGAGGTGGACTCCAACCTCTTAACCTTTTGATGGTTCGAGGTGTACCCAATGTCATTGCCACGTGGCATATATTTATTCACAGATGACACAGTGTATTGATTAAATATTTTTTGGGAGAGTTTAAATCGTTCAATAAAATTTAAAGAATGACAAAGGATCATGCCAGTATGTCGGAAGAGTGTGCTGCTCCTTCTTTTATAAAATTTTCACTAAAAATATACAAGAAAATGGAATTTTATTTATTTACTTTTTATATTTTTGTGGCCGTACAACTACAACTACAAGGCGGGTTAAAGTGACAGGGTTGTTGGGCTTGGGCCCTACTGCCACCCGATCCATCAACGTCCAATTACTACATTTTCAATTTTTTTTTTAAATAACATAAATTTCAAAATTCCTTTGCTAGTGGGTCCCTTACATGTACAGTATACAGAAACGTAATTTCCCGTTCTTTTTTACTTCTCGAAAGTTCGTAACTATCAACCTAGTACAATAAATAAATCGGGGTGCACGCGATTGAATTTCTAACTTCAAGAGAAAGAATATATATCAATTACTCTCGAACTAGGTTCATATTTACGTATTAATTAGTGCAAAATTTACCGTTTTATGTTCATTCATTTCTATACAAAGTTGGATTGGATTAGAAACAGTAATGAAAAGAAAACAAATACTTCAATCATATTCCACAATAACAATTCAGCTTACAAAACAAGGAGGATCAAGGAAGACCTTATCAAAATCAAGGATAATATTAGAGAATTGTAACTCCGGCCAAAAAGAAAGAAAGTCATCATTGTTATTTGACCTAGATGACATTGGAGAGAATGAAAAAAGATCAGACAGACTTTGGGATCAAGAGTTCAAATTTATGGTGGCAACCTCTACTTAAAATAAAATTATATCATTTCGTAAAGACGTACGTGTTGTGTAATCATCTGATGAGATTTAAATTGAAGTGCGTGTATGTTGACTCAAATACTTAAAGAAATTAAATTAAAATTATAAYGATAGGTTAAAAAGTTATAAGTTTAATTAATAGACCGGAGAAAAAATGTAAAAAATTAAAATAATTATTGAAAAGTAGTATGTTTGAAATAAAGAATGAGAATAAAAATATCCTTTTCACAGTGATTTCAAGTTTGAAGTGGTTCCCACTAATTGATTACATTCTATATTTTAATAAAGGACAAAATATATTTTTGGTCCATGAAATTTGAAGTAGGTGTCTACTTGGTCACCTGAAGTTTCAAAATAAACACTTTTGATCCTGACGTTTGAGGTAGGTGTTTAATTGGTCCCTGAACTTAGTTCCTGAAGTTTTAAAATGAACACTTTAGGTCCTTGAAGTTTAGGAAATAGTTCTAAATGGTCCATGAATTTTTTTTTACTATTAATTAACTAATATTAAAATGACATGGCAAATTGCATTTAAATTGTTTATTGTAGTTGCTGACATGACAAATTATATTAATTAAATGATATATGTCCGACAAAGACGTGGTGGTCGCTAGAAAAGGATAGGAGAAAGGGAGAGGAAGAGATGGGGAGACGAGAGATAAAGTACAATCACTTACACATATATTTTTAATTAATATAATTTGCCACATCAACAACTACAATAAACAATTTAATTGCAATTTGCCACATCATTTTAATATTATTAGTTAATTAAAAGTAAAAAAATAAATAAATGACTATTTAGAACTATTTCTCAAATTTTAGGGACAAAAAGTGTTCATTTTAAAACTTGAGGAACCAAATTGACACCTACTTTAAACCTCAATGACCAAATATCTTCATTTTGAAACTTCATGAACCAAGTAGACACATCTACCTCAAAAGACCAAAAGCGTTCATTTTGAAACTTCAGGGACCAAATAGACACCTACCTCAAACCTTAAGGACCAAAAATGTATTTTACCTCTTAGTAAATTAGAATCATTCATTGTAATAATTAGTTACGTAAACAGGCCAATCTAAACATAATTCTAACTGTCCTTCTATTTTAGACTAAAATATGGTGAATTCAAAATTCAACCTTATTTGTTTCACTAATTAGGAAAAAAAAAAAACTAGCTAAATAGGAGGGCCTAAATTCACCGGTCAGCTGAATGTTTTGTCGTTGCTAGCTGACTTTTCTCTTTTTATTTTCTTAAAAAAAAAACAATAATTTACCTAACACGATGGGTTATTCGTTTCCAAGACATGAAATATTGGAGGTGAAAACATATATAATATTGTAATTAAAAAACTCCAAAATTATGCAATCAATTTGTCCCGTTTAGTTAGCCACATTCTTTTTGTCCAAAAATGGAAAAGAAAAGTTAAGCCATATTCTCCCTTTCTTTATTATAGCTAAGAAATAAACAAATGTTTTTTTCATAGTACATTTGTATTTGCATTTAGCTATTAAAATGAAAATTATTCAATAGCCAATGGAGTTGGTGACATAGAGTTGTATATTTTGTATCATAAATTTGTGCAGACAATACCTCACAAAAATTAAAAAAAGAACCATGAGAAAAAAGAAACAAGAGAATTATGGCCGTCCATGGCTAATTTTTGACATGTATTTATTTTCAAAAAAAAAAAAAGAAGAGAAGTTTATAATTTCTTTTTTTTTTATGCCTTTCTAATTTCTAATGTTTCTCTCTCCCATATGTCAAAAAATTAATGGTAAAAGGCATACGTTTCTTACTGCCCAATTACATAACCATCATTTAGCATTTTAAGCCAATCCCTTATCAATTAGTTAATTAGATATTTGTAATAATATCTCATAAAGGTTAAAAGTTTCGAACCTCTTCTGAAAAAAAAAAAAAATTCCAACCCATCTTCCTCCAACTTTGGACTAAAAAAAGTATACCTTCTTTGGTAGAAAATAAAATCCTTCTCTGATACCGTATTTAAATCAAACATACTGATATATAAATGATAGCATGCTTCAACTCTTATCGATCATAAAATTTTTATGATTATGTCATACGTATTTCAAACCTATGTCATTCTCATTGCAAATTAACTAGACTTTAATATAGGGTTTTTATTCCCACAAGTCCTAACCATATCTCAAAATTTTCTATTAGTTCATTAAATTCTCATTGCAGTTCCTCCAAAAAAAACTTTATTATTTGATAAAGACTGGTACGACAGGTGACATTTTCATATTCTCAATCCTACTAAATAGGAATGGATGCAATTCTAGAATCTAGATACATATTAAAGTTGTATTGTTTTCTTTCATTTTCTCTACCATTAATTCTCAATTGGAGTTACTTTAACATGCTATACTCTAATAGACTTTAGCATCTAACAACCTCATAATAATTAAGACAAAACGAGTGAACATAATTCAGTAATAATTAACATATATCTACAACCAAGAGGTTGTGAGTTCGATCCCGCACCTCCACATGTTGTACTAAAAAAGGAAAAAAAAATTCACAACAATTAAAAATATGTTTGAATCCTTTCTAATGTGATAAAATTGGAAAGTTTACCATAATTTGAAGTCCTAGGGTGGTTCATATCACTAATCTTAGTCCATGTAATATCAAGATGTCCATTTTAATTATTATATTTTTGAAACATTCAACTTGGTCTCTATATTTTAAAAATGACCAACATGGTCTCTATTTGCAAAATTTTAACACAAATTTTATAAATTTTGAGAACACTGTGCTACACATTTATAGCTTCAAGAAATCTAATGTGTGAAGTGAAGGTTAAAATTATGATCCAAAGAAATGAGAGAAAAGTAGAAATTAAGAGATTAAAATAGTTACTTTTTAAAGATACCAGAATGAAAAAATTAAAAAAAAAAAATGAAAGTAGAGAGACCAAAGTAACACAGGCGAAAAAAATAGTATTTTTTTTTATATATCAAGATGGGAGTTCGAACTCATGACTTCTCTATTAGAGATGCTTTAATAATTTGAGTAAAAAAAAAAAAAGAAAGAAAGAAAGAATAGTATTTAAACTTTGAATAAAAAGTACCACCACACATATACTAAGATTGGCCAAATTTTCCACATCAAACTTTGGCAAATAAKTAATAAGCCAGTTCTAGAGATACTAAATCATATTCCTACTTAGATGTTGCTCATTAATTACATTTTAATCTTCCCCTTCTCTTTTCTCGAACACCAGAAGTGGACAAGAGCTTATTTAATCACTGATTAATCGATTAAGAAGCAAAGCAACTACAAAGTCATGAAATTTATCTGACTAGCCAACGACCACGATGCCAAAATTGTGTCAAAACTTAAAACATGGATCTTTTTGGAAATTGGAAATGAATTTTCAATTCCGCTTCTTGGGTTTTAGTTATCGAATGATTCTCTCTCCCTCCTCCTTCACTGTAATTGTCCATGGAATCAAGAAGAGAGAGAGAGAGAGAGAGAGAGAGAGTTCTCACAGTCATGGAATTTTAAAAGCTTTTTCCCAATAACTGCTCACATGATTGGTATGGTGTGCAGCTGAGGAAGCCCACAATCAGCTGTATGTGTGCACATTTTTGCTCAAAAGAAAGAAGAAAAAGGGGGAAGAAAGTTTGTTTCGAGGGAAGACTTTTGGGACAAGAACAACACACAAGTCCTTTCCAATTCCGATCCCAAAATCAAAATCTCACTCTCTCTCTTCTATCTTCCGTTAGAAATCCCACAAGACGACACCCATATCTCTATTTCTCAATAACTTCATATGCTCGTAATCCCCAAAATGAAAAAAAGGAAAGAAAGTGAGATAATGAAGCTTCTTCATCTCCTTCCTGTCGCCCTTCTTCGCTCTGTTTTGGTGGGTGCCTCTTTTTCGGGACAACAACAACCCCTTCTTCTTCTTCGTCCCCTTTTGCCTCCTTCGCTCTCTCCCATTTCTCCATTTTCGGCTTCAATGGCTGCTTCTTCCCCAGGTGGGTACAGTTCAGATCTCTGTTCTCTCACTGAAATGAACTTCTAATGGGTTCAATTGGAGAAATCGTTGTGATGTGATGAACTCTTAACTGTTCTTCTCTTGTTCTCAGGAGTTTCTAGGGTAATGGAGGACTTGAGAAATGAAGCTCACAGGAAAATTGTAATTGCCCTCATTGCGTGTTCTTCGTTTGGTGTAGTTGCAGTGGCTTTACTCTGTTTCTGGATTTATCAAAGAAGAAACTCACGAAACGTTCGGAGTTCAGGTAAAACTCGCTTCTCAACAAAACCCATTTTCAGTTCAATTGGGTCATTCATCCGCCATTTTAGTGGGGTTGAATCGATTAATTCCCTCAAATAACATCTTATTTCTTCCCGGAATTTGGATTTTGAAGAAGATGCCGAGAAGGGTCTCGTTGGGTTAGCTCCAATTTTGCGAAAGTTCAGCTCCAACAAAATGGTGGGTTACAATAAAGCGTCTGTCCCAACAATTGACTACGAACATCTGGAAAAGGCCACCAACATTTTCGAGGAAAGTAAAATTCTGGGCGAGGGTGGATTTGGACGGGTTTACAAGGCTAAATTGGATGATAACCTATTCGTTGCTGTAAAGAAACTGGAATGCACCGATAAGGATTCCGAGAGAGAATTCGAGGTACTGTATTTTCCCCATCATCTTCTTCTTTGCTCATATCTTGAGAAACCCACAAGAAAACTGAACTCCATTCCTTGAAATTTACAGAATGAAGTTGATCTGTTGAGCAAAATCCAACACTTAAACATCATCCGGCTACTGGGTTACAGCATTCACGGCGAATCAAGGCTTCTTGTTTACGAATTGATGGAAAATGGATCGCTGGAGACACTGTTACATGGTGAAACCCCCAAATCAGAGGCTCTTCTCTTCTTACACCATTTTTGTAGTTTATTTATTAATTTGGGCACGATTATAATTTATATTACATGGTCTGTGTTGCTCAGAGTTCTCTGAAATGTTTTATAGGGCCTTCACATGGCGCAGCATTAACATGGCACATGCGCATGAAGATTGCTCTGGATACAGCAAGGTGAAGGAGGGGTTTAAGTTTTACAAGATCTGTTCAACTGGGTTTGTACTTTTGTGTGTTTTCTGATATTTGAAAATTGTTTGACCAGAGGATTAGAATATCTACACGAGCACTGCAAGCCAGCAGTCATACATAGAGATCTGAAATCCTCCAATATTCTTTTGGATGCAAACTTCAATTCCAAGGTAAAATAATGCATCATTTAGAGTTTGAAAAGAGTCCAATCTACAGCTTTTTGTTTGAAAAGAAACAGGCTAGGCCCTCAATTATTTGAAGGAGGAATCAGTGAAAGAGAGAGCTAAAATTCTTCTATTTTTCCTTTTCTTTTTTTGGTGGATTCAGCTTTCTGATTTTGGCCTGTCTGTGATTGTTGGAGCACAAAACAAGAACGAGATAAAGATTTCTGGGACGATGGGTTATGTAGCTCCCGAATATCTTTTGGATGGTATGTCAAATTCAACCAGAAATTGATTAATATTTATTAACAGAAATTTTAGTCTTTTATCTTTAATACCATCAGAAAAATTCAATAAAATGTTTTAATGTTCTAAGAATGTAACTATACTTTACTGTTTGTCTTTTAAACTGTTAAAAGGGTCTTATCATGTTTCAATTTGCTTAACCTTTTATCTCTAAAACCCAATACTTTTTGCACAGCTGAAAAAGATATAAGTAGCCCTTTTTTAATTTTTCCTTTTTCCAGAAGATAAAGGTAATATAATTAGAGTGGTGGGCCATGCTATCTGTCTTGGAATCTAGTCTCACTTGTAAAAGGTTTAGTAGCATGCAACCAAAACAAGAGACAAGAAAAAGAGAGCAAGTAATATAAGAATTTGGTTTAGTCTCCCCTCCCCTAGTTGGTATATTTTGGATTAAGATTTCTAAAATACATGTGTTTGGTTTTTAACTATATATTAGTTACAGTAAAAAAAAAAAAAAGAGCTCTCTTTTACTTGTCTAGGTAAATTGACTGATAAGAGTGACGTCTATGCTTTCGGAGTTGTGCTTTTGGAGCTTCTTTTAGGAAGAAGGCCCGTCGAAAAACTGGCACCATCTCAATGTCAATCTATTGTCACATGGGTAGAGCTCTTGCTAAACCAAGCCTCTTATGACGTTCAACATGCTTCTTTACATAACATGAAATTTGGCAAATTTTTTTGCAGGCAATGCCTCAGCTCACCGATAGATCGAAGTTGCCCAATATTGTCGATCCAGTGATTAAAAACACAATGGATACGAAGCACTTATTTCAGGTTCGTCAATCAAACTCTCAATACTGGTTACTACTTTGACTAACCATGGAGAATTAAAAGTTGCAACTTTCTGTGGGTTGCATAGGTTGCTGCCGTTGCTGTGCTGTGTGTGCAGCCCGAACCAAGCTATCGCCCGCTAATAACCGATGTTTTGCACTCTCTTATTCCTCTTGTTCCCGTCGAGCTTGGAGGGACGCTCAGATCACCGACACAACAACCTCCTGTGGCTCCAGCTTAAGTATCGTTTGATAGGAAGAAGTGAAATAAAGAGAAGCGATTATGATATACAGCAGTGATTTCAGGGCTCTTCAATGCTCAAACGGAGGATTTTTTCAATCATATTTGTTATAATTTCTGCAAATATGATTGCTGCAGACTGCAGTGGATGATGTGAAAAGCAATTGCTTTGGGTGCTCGGTTGAAATCCGTGAGAGGACTGATGGAAACTTGGAATGTTATATACTACATTTATTTATCCTCCACAGATACAATAAAAAGTGTACAATTTTGAGGCAAGGCTCACCTTGAAACCCTACTTTCTCCTAAAATCCTGTTTGCCTTGCCATAATGGTTTGGACCCCGAGGAGGTTATGTTACTGTTTCTCATCAAAATCTGTAATAGTGTAAAATTTTTCTACAAGATATTGATAAGATGTAAAATTTCAAACTAACCTAAAATGTGTATTATGGTCAGAAGTAAAAGAACTGGCACCATCGATGAAAAGTTCAAACATGAAAATACCATCAATAAGTACTAAGAAATATTACAGATTGCTTCAACTTGGTTTCGATCAAAGAATTCTGACTATCACTCAGCCACTTTATTACAAAATTTAGATCAATGTTTAAGTTGAACTTAGACTCGATTAAGAAGTCCCATTCGATCTCGGATGAACATAGAACTTGAAAACAAAACTTTGAAGAATATATTTATTTTATATACCTATCTGATATCCATTTTACCTTACATTGTGGAATGAATCGATGATGGCATCTGCGAGATATTCACATTTAGCTAAAGATAATCCAGCCAGAGATATCCGTCCATCCTTTGTCATGTACACATGCCACTTGTCTGTCATATTATCGCTCTGCTTCAACATAAAGAATGCAAAGCAATATATTATGAAAATGCATTTTGCTAATAACGAAAAAGAATTCAGAACAGGTTTCACTGTTACAATCAGTTTTGGTAGGATATGTTAAGGCTAGTATTGTTTCCCATATTAAGAATTTATTGGACCGAGATGTGGAAACTACTGTATATTGTTTTGGTGAACAATAGATAAAAGTGAATCTACATAACAATTACCTGAACTTTGCTCAAGCCTGTGAATGAGAACATGCCAATCTGCTCGAGTATAAAGGACCAATCTTTCCCACTTTTATCTTTTGCACAGAGGCTATCATAGAGCTTCTGCCTAACATTCTTTATCCTTCCAGCCATCATTTCCATTTCTGCTCTCCAGTCGTTAAATAGGGCTGGATCTCCAACAATATTAGCAACAATTCTAGCCCCATGAACTGGAGGATTTGAGTACATTGGTCGAGCAAGTCTCTTTAGCTGGCTCTTTACTCTAAAAACATAAAGGTTCCCATTAGGAATTTATAGCAATAAAACAAAAAGGACCACTTCCACAAGCTACAGACTTCAAGGCGAAAAAGAACAATCAACTCAGTACATTAGTCATCATGAGAATTAGGAATGATTAATCAGAATGAACCAATAAAAAATAATTTGATTAACTAAAAAAACTGAAAATTGAAGCGCCTATTTCAATTTCTTTTTTGTGCAGTAATACAATATTATATATTAAGCCAGGTTCTTACCAGCAAACCTCTACTTAAGTTCTTATGCATTTGCAGACAACAATTTGGACACAGGAATGACAACAAATGTAAAAAGTCATGGAATGAACAGTGCATAAAATTTGGTTCACTGTACCTTGCTGCTGCATCTGCTGATGAGCAGACAACGTTGATTGCCCCAATCCTTTCAGCATAAAGACCAAGATTTTTACTATATGATTGAGCAACCAGAAGCTCCAAACCACGAGCAGCAAACAGCCTAACGGATGCTGCATCTGCATCAAGGCTTCCACTAGCAAATCCCTAGCAAACGAAAGGAAAATTTTTATCCAGAGAGGGTTCTTTTGAACAATTATTTTTGCAGTATTCCAATTATATGGAAATCTAAACTTTTCAGGCCATTATCACCACTCAAATTTTAGGAGGCATGCCGACAAAAAATGAGCAAATTCATAGACATAACTGTGTATAGATGCACCTAACTCCAAGTTACAACAAAATATTATGGTTTCTGTTTTCTTTAGCAACAGTCAGTAGTAGTACCTGATATGCAACATCAAAAAATGGAATGTGGTTCTTTTCCTGAATGACATCGGCAATTTTTTCCCACTGCTCAGGTGTTGGATCAATGCCAGTTGGGTTGTGAGCACAACCATGAAGCAACACAAAAGATCCGTCAGGTGCTGCCTGGAAGATGAGGGTGGAAAGACAATGTATAGAGCAATAAAATCATCAATACAATGAGCTGGAATATTTTGGAAAAAAATTGGAAACTAGCACCTGAAGAAAAATATCACAAGGAGAAAATTATATAGTCAGGCAGTAACCTTAATATCAGATATCATCCCCTCAAAATCCAAACCAACTGTTTTAGGGTCATAATAACGGTACTCAGACCACGGAACTCTTGCATCATTGAAAATATTTTTATGATTCCCTGCAATGAAAATTTTCCAACCACGAGAAAATTAGATTTCCAAGAACCAAGGAAAAAAAAGTAGTAAAGTAAACGTGTCGATACAAACCCCAAGTTGGAGAAGATATAAGGACTTTTGCACCAGGAAAGTATCGTTCTATAAGAGCTGCAGCTAGTCTAAGAGAACCAGTTCCCGACAGACCTTGAACAGTTGCAACCTAGGAGAATATGAAATGAATAAAAGAAAACGGGATCACATTTCACAGCATCGATGACTCTCTTTTTTCTAGTACAACAAATGTGGGGATGGGAGATTCAACTTCTAAACTCTAGGGGAGGAGCAATATGCCTTAATTGCATTTATTCTTTCATTAAGTGAAATTCTATTAATATAGAAAGAAATGAATTCTCAAGCCGTTTTACATACACGTTGCTGCTTGATGACTGGGTTGTCAGCTCCAAATAATAATTCTGCAGTTGCCTTGTTAAATGCTGCCAGACCCTCAATTGGGAGATACTACATATTGAAAATACAAAATCCTTGAGTTGCATAAGAACTTCAAATAATACATTCATTTTCAGCACCATGAATGTACCTCTTTGTTATCTCCCCTCTCCAACATAAGATTCTCAGCCTGTTTAATCAAAGAAGGAAAGTTCAATAGAATAGAACTAAAAATAGAAAGACTTAATTAATAAAATCCAATTAAGAATCGGATAAGGATATTGACCTTCTTCACAACATCAAGCACATAAGGATGTAGTTCTTCTGTACGATACGCACCAACTCCCAAGTTAAGCTTCTTTTCATGCGTATCCGCTTTGAAGGCCTCAGAAACTCCAAGAATTGGATCAGGAGGGGCCATCGTTATCCCCTCAAACCGAGAGACATTAACAGAAGCAACCATAGATATCCTGCTCAAGGACTGAAAATCAAAAAATGGTACTGTATCAATCCGCCTTTCACTTCCTTGCACTCTACTCCACCATACACTTCACTAACTCTAACTACCAAAATAAGCAAGAAAATTTAAAGATAAGTACAACTAACACCTCATTATATGTCCATGAATCATGATAGCGGTTGCACAGATTTCCTTCAGAGATAAGACAGCATACAAAGAGGACACATGTAAACACTCAATCTAATAGATGAATACACACACAAAACAGAGATTTTTTTTTTCTTTTTAAATACTACCGTAGGCACAAGAAATTAAAACAACGATGAGCAACTGACTGAAGAGAAGTGAAGTAATCGATTTTGATATAGAAAGAAATAGAAGTGAGTAAGCATACCCTGGTCTGCGCAAATGAATGGTTTTTGTCGCGATCAAAACTTAGACAGTTAGCTCCAAGGCTCAACTTCCCCTGTGTACAGGAACAGAATGCACAATTGTTCGCCATTAGTTATAATCCACAACATGCCTTCTAGTGACCAATATGGTAAAAACGACAGCGATTGCGAGCGTAAGGTAGAGAAAACCTTGTTGATATCAAATGTGGAAAGTGAAGCGGAAGCAAGAGAGAGCACAGACGACGCCATCTAAATTCACGTCAGAAGAAAAAAGCTCAGGAATGGAGCAAGCAAGAACAATTAATATAACAGAAAGGCAAATCGATGAAGTTATAACTTGATACAGACCTGAATGGAAACCGGATCAGCAGTAATGAAGTTTCAACGACGGCGAGATGAGGCGGTTGGTGGCGGAGGAGAAAAGGCGATGAGTCCGAGGAGGAGCAATCGTTTATGGAGGAGGAGGGGGGATTTTGCTGCGAACCACGGGGGACGCTGGATCTGTTCTCTGTGTGCTTGGGGCTGAAATGGTAATTGTGGTTGCTTGAGAAGGATATAATGGACAATTGGATTCGTGTCTGGAGATGAAGCCACGTGTCTGTTGATTTTGATCGACTGTTATTTAACCTCCAAGCATTATCCTCCTGGTTTGATGCCTGGCCCACCTTTCATTTTCAAAATTTTAAAAATTTTAATTTAAATGGTTTAGTCTCATTCTTCATGTCATGTTTTATATTTGGTTAGTTGACTATAGCAAGTTTAAGATTGAGTAAAGAAAAGAAACAAAAAAGAAATGGGTGGATCTTTTCTAGTGTATAAAAAATAGTTAATGAATTATTTGTGGGTCTAACTAAATTATATGGAACAAATTTAATTTTTTTAAAACTATTTGACCAAATTCAAGCCACGCAATTTAGTAAAAAGAATCAAGCATTTTATTGAAAAAAGAAGAAGAAGATGATGAAAAAATGAGGTTTATTCGGCTGAAAAGATGATGTAAGCAGTAAACTAATTATGTTAATGGCAATGAATAGAGGGTAGGTCCCACCGGGAGTCGAACCCAGCCTAAAATATTTATAATTATTTGCAAGCAGTAAACTAATTATGTTAATTGCAATCAATTGAAGGTAGGTCCCATCGGGAGTCGAACCCAGGTCGCTGGATTCAAAGTCCAGGCTGCTAACCACGACACCATGAAACCATGATTTGTCTACTGTTTAATATCATATTCAAACAAAGCAATTAATTGTTATTTGAACCGTTTTATAAAAAGGAGGATTGAAATCACTCTGGGTCAGAAAAATATACTTTAATCAATTGAACTATACTCAAATTAACATTCACAATTACAATATATATCATATTGTACAACTTACTATAACATCAAATTCTGATACTTGTTTGAATTGTTAATTTAATTTGTAATTCTATACATATCATTGATCAAAATAATAATAATTGGATGAACAAAATATTGAATATGGTCTAAGAATCGTTATATTCCATATTTACATATAATTAAACTAATAATCATTTGTAGTTACAATTTTTTAAATAAATGTGTTATAAGAAGATGCAAGGAATATCACGTAGTAGCTCTAGCTAGGTTCTATTTAAAATTTCAAAAGCACAATTATTGGTAAGGAAAGTAATTTATAACAAAAATGTCTATCTAAATATAACAAAGTAGATAAGACATTAACTACTTCCTTAAGATCCAATGTTGCAATATAGAAATAAAAAGGGTATGGCCGAACTCAATAGGGTCATTTATTTCAAAAAATTCAAAACTACCATGGTCAATAGGATTTGCTGAAACAAAGTGCAAAAAGATTTTTTTTCTTTTTTTTTGTGGAATTCAACCTAAATTCATCAAGTTTTTAAAGTTAAAACTTTTAATCTCAGTTTGTTATTAATCCATTAATTTCCTGAAGTTAACAGTAAAATTGATTACACATAATTCAATCTCTTTCTTTCTTCGAGTTTATGGTATGGTGAACTAACAAATATGGCAAGATCACAAGTTGGGATGGATTTTAACTTATTATAAACATGCACAAGAAGCCATGAAAACATATATCTGACAAGATCAAATACTGGACACGAAACAACTCCAATTAATATTAAGATAAAGTCCATCAAATCCTTCATCAAATCACAGATTGAGAAGAATTTTATGTCCCTTGCCTAACTTAAGAAGTAAGAACAATACTTCGTAGTCCCTTCCATCCGACGAAAAAAGACGGCTAAAAGAACAGGAACTATCAGTTAACACAAATTAACCAATAGATTGGTGAATAGTTGATTCATTTTTGCAGTAATTTTGGCAGTTGAAAACACAATTTTGAACAAAAAACTAATGCGATCTTCTAAACCATATTCTTCTATTGGTGTGTGATTTCATTGCTTTCCAATTTTGCTAAACGCTGCAACCAAAATCACAGCTGTGAAATACAAGACACATTCATGAGCTAATCACCACATATGCATGTAATATCACATTTTCCACTTGGTCCAATATACAAAAACAAAAAGCCAACCTGAACGGTATAAATTGGAAAGATGAAACAATAACGGTTAATAATCTTTCCCTATATAAATTGGATGTGCAAATTTCCACCTAGAACACACAAGTTCATCACCACAGATACAGAAAGATGAAATATTTACGTAAAACAAAAATCATTCTATATCAGAATAGAATACAAAGGAATTTTCTTAAAGTTGTTTCTGAAACAGTTTGAACCTTTTTTTTCAAAAAAATTGTTGAAAACTGAAACCAAATTTATCGTGCATACTGAAATCACTATTCATAACTTTGTAATTTCGGGAGGGCAAATAACTTGCTATTTGTTCTCTTGATTCTCAAACTTTAAACCCCATAAATGACATAATTTACCATCCACAAGTCTTTTTACTTGCTAGCTCAACTATCATAGTTCAGTTTCACAGTAAAAACTTGATAATCTTTACTAGTGAAATCAAACATGAAGTATAATCGAAGTTGAAGACCTTTTAACAAAACTTAAAAAAGTATAGAGATTAGAACAGAAAATGAATGGAAGTTCATACTGGAATTCAAAAGTTCAATAACCAAAATAGAAAGAAATCAAAGATGGGAGATTAATACCGTATCTAGAGCAAGGTATTATTGAGATCTTTGAATCTATTAAATAAAATATAAATGGACCTGTAGACATAAATCAAGTGACAAAGTTCTACCAGCCAAATTTTGTTTGCAAAAAATGCAAACTAAAGCAACCAGGCAGGGAATATAATGATAAAAAAAATGCTAAATCGGTAGAAATAAAGGTAGCAAGCTCCTCTCATTTCATACTCTAGGAGTAAGGAGAAATCAAGACCATAATAAAACTTCGTATTTCCATTAAAACAAAAAGCATCAAACTGAACTACGATAATGTCAACAAAATAAAGCCGAGATTAATCTAAAATTGAAATTACTCAATATCCTTTGTCTTCTCCAACTAACGCTTAAAAAGGTTCAAAACAATTGCGAAGGGTGAAGAGCAAATCATAAGCAAAACACCTCAAAATCCGAGCTTAGTGCGGCGCCAGTGCCTTCGCTTCGCATTATACCTGAAGAACACATCAAAATGCAGCTTTAGAATCAAAACTTAGAAGTACGGAGATGATAATACGAAGGAAAATAGAAAGGAAGAGTAAAGACCTGATGGTATTGTCGGTCCTCAGGCGAATCCAGTGAGGAATAGGCCTGTTCTGTCGCATCTTTTTCGCCAACTTCTTCTTAATCATGAAGGTCTTGTGAGACGGCTGCGCACATTGAAGAAAACTCACATCACAACACAACCTCCCAAAACAAGAATCAGTCGATTCCGTAATAACAAAAACAAGTCCCCAGAAAATATACAAAATCGAAATCACATCAAGGAAGAAATCAGTTACCATCTTGAAGATTGAAGAATCGGCTGCGACGGCTTCGAACGGCGAGCAACAAGCAGAAACCCTAGTTTCAGAAAACGGGAAAAGGAGGAGAAGAGGATTTTATATGGACCGCTAGAAGAATGACGCCTGGGAAACCCAGTCCATTCGATGATCCAAAATGTAATGGGCTGGCCCATAAAACAAAATTCATTGGCGGTTCGGTTTGTGAATTAGGTGAATCGAACCGAACTTGGTGAAAACCGAATTGGTTCGCTCCGGTATTTTCGAGATATAAGCCTCGTTGAAATGGGCCTACCTGGAAGTACAGCGTGGGCCGAAGACCAAGGCTTCTTCTCATGGTGGTCCTAACATTGCTTTATATATTTGGGATTAGTAGGATTATTTAGAGATCCTATGTATCAAATTTACATTTTGTCATGAAACAAATTTATTTAAGATAGTATCCATCACCTAAATTACAAAACTATCCTTTTGTATATACACATTAATATTAATTGATTTTTAAATTCCATAATTCATTAATTGGACGGTTATATTTTGAATCTTATGATATTTGCTTAATCATACTTTCCAAAAGAAACTAAAATACCAAAACATCCAAAAATATCCTCAAATCCCTCAAATTCAAAAACCTCCAAAAATATCCCCAAATTCGAAAAATAGTGATGGTTCGTGTCTTCTTCTCCGTTCGTCGGGATTATTCTTCCGACTGCTTGCGCCTTCTCCTTCTCCGACGATTCACCTCGATTTCGTCTGCTTTGATTCGTTTGCTTCGTCTGTCTCAGAGGCTTTGTATCCGTCATAGAGTTGTCTGTTCTCGTCGCCGAGCAGACCGTTTCCGTTCTACCATCGTTCCATTTTTGTCCGCTCCTTTGTCTCCAGTCCCCACCTTCGTTTTTCTCCGTCGCTGGAGCAGTTCGTCTTCGTTTATCCCGATCGAAAAGTTTGCATTCCAATATATCCTAATATATCCTAATGTTGAAAACCTTGTTTTTTTTTTTTATATATTCCAATATATCCTAATATTCATTTCATACCAAGTAGTATCCAATAGTTGTACATATAGGGTTATATGGGAATATATCTTATAGTGAGTTTGATCTTAGCATACAAAGCATCATAACAATTTTGTGCATTTCCCTTTTTGTGTGTAGGGATATATGCGATATATCTTATAATGGTTGCCTTGCACTCTTTACCTTTTTGTGTATAGGGATATATGGGGGAAAAAGTGCTCGAACGGGTAGGAACCTGTTGAATCAAATTTGAAATGCGTCCGGCGGTGGCTTCCAACAACCGGTGGGAATTTACACACGAAGAGAGATGAAATTAGATATTTTTTCCATTAATAATAATGGTAAATGATGGGAATAAATCTTTTTTGAAGAGGTGGATGAAGCTTTAAATTATGGGGCCCACAATAATTAAAGGAATATGATTACAATTTAGGGATTCAAATCTTTTAGATTTAAAAAAAAACTATAATAAGAAGTAAATGTAATAAATAAGGGTAAAATCGATATTATAAAAAAAAATCTTACATGCAGAAATAAAGTGTAAAATTTGAAAACTTTGGACATTTGTAAAATTAAGTTTAAAATATAGCCCTCCTAAGACATTATCTCTATATATTTTTATTTTCTTAATGTTTAAATTTATTTCTAAAAACCTTATGTCTATTTGTTGTTAAAATTTTAAAAAGTTTGAATTAAATTTTAAGATTTAAATAGTGATTTAATATAATCATTATAACTATAGAGATTTAACTCAATAATAATATGATATATCTATTAAACAAATATTGACTAATTTAACCTAATGTGTTACGACATATTTATATATATTTCTAGCAGCACGTAGGTTTAAATCTTCCTCATATTTACAAGGTAAAAAAATATATAATATAAATGTGACGCTGACATATAAGCTCCACTATAATTTCAAATTTTACTTGTTAAAATAAAGAGGTAACAACCATTTGAATTCAACCTCCATATATTTTTATTTGTTTAAAATCCCCCGAGACACAGTGGCTTCACATGGAGCAGAAGCAATTTCCGTAATTCTCTGATAATTCATGGTTTAATAATTAAAGATTTTCTTTAAAAAAAAACTAAGCTATGGTTTCATAAAGAAATGTGACAAAAAAAAAAAAGAAAAAAAGAGGATTTATAGGTTAAGCGATTGGTCCAAATTATTTAAAAATTTACTCCAATTTCTCCCTCTCCCATGTTAAAACTGTTGACTCTCGGGCCGTCGAAGCACGTGCTTGAGCTTGACTATTTCGTCCCAGGTTAGTTAATTAACATTCCAATAATCCTACTTTTTATTAATTTCTTTTTAAACTTAATTTGTGGGACATATGGATAAGTTTTTTTTTAGATAAAAGTAATGCCTTAATGGTTAATATTTAAATCATGTACATCTCAATTTGGTTGCAATTAATTAAATATTTGACGATTCCATCAATTTATTTTAAATTAACTATAATTGGCTTTTCTTTGATTGATTATGACGTGATTTAACAATTAATGACGAGAAACGACTTCCGTAGGAGAAGGGTTATAGATTATAGTCTATGTAGAATTTTAATTTTAAAAGGAAAAAACGACAAAACATTGAGCTAAATAATTGGTTAGGAATACAACTTATTAAATGAGTACAAAATTTAATTCTAAGTCGTCTCCCGCTAATATAGGGTATAAATATTATTGGAATAATATTCTGAGTTGAATGATTAAATTTAGCATGAAACATAGGCTTTTCTTTATATAATATTGATTCAATATAATCTAATCAAACACAAACATAATTTACCTCCACTAATTAAAACGCCTATCTTCAATAAATCAAAAATTCGAATCTCCACCTCTAGATGTTGTATTATAAAACAAACATAAATACAATACTTTATTGAACAAATTCATTTACATCCATTTAAGTAAATATAGTTGAACAACATACCCATTACAAATACAATATTATTGTCTACTTTAAGTTTAGACCTATTTATTTATTATTATATGTCATATTATAAATAAAATGACCGTTACACCTCTCTTTTTTTTTTTATAGAAATAGATGATTATTCATATGCTCTCACGCTTCAAAGTCATGGAGACATTAAAGAATATTGATCTTAGAGGAGTTTACTTGACCCACCTCTTCGGTCTCCTACAAATTAACAACTCAAATGAGCAAGTGCAAACGTATGCTTCTATTAAGGCTCAATACTTTTTATGGTCCTTAGATCAATAGAACAAACACAACAATTTATCTTATAGCGTGTAGCAAAGAACTTCGTTTTCGTACGTATTCGTAACCCGATATGGTTTCCAATTAATCTAATTCTAACATATGATACGATAAATTTGAGTATGGGTTTAGGTTTGCGGGCATTAAAGTGAAGAGAGAGAGGAGGCGGATGCACATGTGGTTAGTAGGAATTAGTCCAAATCTTCACCTGAGGGATGATGTTGATTGATGGCCATGGAAGTGGCTGCCTGCCAAAACTAAATTCCTTCTCTTCCCCTTCTCCTCTTCTAGTTTTATTTAACTCTTCAGAAACCGCGTCCATGAATCAGCAAAATTTTCAGCGAGATTGGTGTTGAAGTTGGCATTGCAAACAAGCAATTTGAATGAACCATTAAATCAGCCCACTTCCAGAAGCTTACAAAGGCCTGTGAATCATGGACAAAATCCCACAATAAATATCTTGACTTTTTGTTTCTTCTGCCTTGGACTCTTCATGTGATGTCTTGGGGCGGGAAAGGGAGAAACATTTCGACGACGACTGATGTGATTGGAAATCTTCGATTCAAAATGTCTGTTAGTTCTTTAACTTTTGAGACGCTTCAATTGCTTCTTGAATATCTAAAATTATGTTTTAATCTTTTATGAATCATGATTATAAATAAATAAGTTGCAAACTTGATTAAGAAAAAAGAAAAAAATCATTCTTATTATAAATTTTTAATTAAATAGATGCCCACTGACCTTTGCTTAGTGTCTAATTTTGAGGTGTCTCAAAATCCATGCTCCATATGTTTTCTATGTGTCTTTTATTCATAAACCACATATGTTCCATTATCCATGCACCATGTGTTGAAATCATAATGCTCTATGTGTCTCAATTTTAGACATTATTAGTGTCATGTAAATCACACCACATGCTTATCCATGGCCTATAAATAAGGTCAATGTGGTGCTCAATTAGTAGTGAAAATTTGTGAGAAATTAGTGGTGAGAATTTGTGAGGAATTAAAGAGAAATTTGGTGGGAAATCAAGTTTGAAAGTTGGTGGGAAATGTCATTTTGAATTTTGAAATTTCTTTATTATTTGAATTGTTTTGTTTATTTTATTTCCCCGACATTGTCTCGTTTCGTTCCTTAATTTCACAACAATTCCTTTTTTTTTTTTTTGATTAAAGCATAGAAATTAATTTGAATAAGAAAAAAGGACAAATTTGGTATCATCACCCATGTTGTGTGTTGGGCCCACGTTACGCGTTTTGTATATAATGGGGTAAAATATGGTATTATGATGATCAAAGCAAAAACTAATAATAAAAATAAAGTGGGCCCAAATGATTAGATGAATGTACCTTTTTTTGACCTCTTTTAATTCATTAAACCAATCACTCTCCCATTTTAGCTGGCAACCAAACTTGCACAAATCCTCACAGTTCCATTCATACACGAATTTATGAAATCTAAAATATATCATAGAAATGTTATGTAAGAGTTCAAAATTAGAGACCATTTCAACATTGTTTAAATATAAACTAGAACCACATATTTTATATATATATATTATATGTTATATAAAACTTTGCGAAGATTTAAATATAGAAAATATTGTACTTTGATTCACTTGATATAGACCAATTATAAGGAGAATGATATGATATAAGATTGAAGGAGAGTAGAGTGCAAGAAATGATAAAAGTAAATCGCTTGAAAGAGGAGAAGTTGTTTGTTTGTTTTTATGTTGGTGTCCCTACCGCACATGGCCAAATTAATTTTTATATAATTAATGTAATGAAAATAGAGAGGGAAGCATATGGTAGGAGTGAAGGGGGGTTGGATATGATATATATAATATATAATATGAGAAAACAAATCTTTGTCATTGGATCTACCAAGCATAATTCACGATCCTCTTTGAAATATTTATTATAGTTTTTTAAAGATTCAATTTGATCTCTACAATTTTAAAAGTTTTTTATTTGAATCTTTTACGTCCTTAAAATGTCTTTTACCTTCTTGAACATTCATTCACTTTATTTCTACCAATTTCTTCCACTCAGCTTCAAACTTTAAATATATATATATATATATATATATATAGTCAACTATATGCCGTTAGTTAAATAGAAAACACTAACACGTGTCATGTAAATAAAAATATGTCACGTATTTGATATGGTAAGTTATCTGGTATACCTTTTGTCCTGGTCAAATGAACTTTAACATTGCAAAACATGAAAGACGTTTATATATATATATATATATATATATATAAGAGAATTAGAACATAACATTTTGCTCGTTTCTTAGCTCGGTTCGTGTGCAAGACGACGCGGGTCCTTAAGCATGATCCATGATCCACAAGGTAGAGAAAGACATATTTGGCACATGGGGGAACAGGGAGAAGAATGGGAATTATAAGCAGAAGCAGTGATCCCAGATGGGTTATGTTTGCAGTTGCAGCAACAGGGCGCGAGCCCTGCACATATATTCCCCACATGCGCTTCCATTTTCGCCCATTCCCTTAACCCATCCCCCACCCCAGCCGGCCCCTATTATATTCTCATTATTCCTTTCCTTAATTTATATTATTTATTTTCCAACTCAATCTTAATTTAACGTGATATCATATCAGAGTAGAAAGTTTTATTTTAGAACTCCAACTAATTTTGATAGTAGTTTGTTGGGCTATATATACAAATTTCGTCCGTTTAAACTTTTGAGTTCAATGATAATCTAATAGTTGGACGTCATGTATTTTATTAGTTTACAAAGTAGTAATTTTAATTTACTACTTTTAAAGAAGAGTTTGAGGGGTGTGTAAATGAACTAACCTCTCTATTAATTGTTAAAACTTCACTTAAGTGAGACAAAGAAGATGAGTATCAATATTTGGCCTTTATGCCCCTATACCAACTGACATATGCAATGAGTCATTTTTTGGTGAAGTTACGTTTCATGTGTTTTGAACCCAAGACCTCAAGACTTGAGGTCCCAAGCCGTCCAAGTTATCCTTGAGGGTGGATCTGTGGAAAAAAACTCAATAATAGATATAAAGAAAGTTAAGAACAAGAATTCATTGTTTTTTTTTTAAGGAATATATTGGATCCATTACAAAATTGAAGATAGAAAGAACTTAATAAAAGATATAACGAAAATGTTCCTAAAAAACCCCAACTTTTAATTTAATACGAGATCCACAAATCAAAAATCATGTCATAAGCACAAAGTACATTATACGAAATCTCAATCAACAATGAAGCTCAAACGGCCAGTTCCATATACGTTGAAAATTGAGCAAGTAAAAAATAAGGGTTTCTATTAAAGGACTGCAAAAAAATGTGGAACTTTACCAATAGGAACTAGAATATATAAAGTTTTTCCTTCTTTCTTTTTAAGAGAGAGAGAGCTGAATTTTCTAAGTGTTTTCCCATTTGTTTTGTAGTGGGAGCAAAATCTATTAGAATATCGAGATCATGTGAATAAATTTGGTGAGTCTTGAATTTAACACTTGACCTGATTTATGAATTATTATTTAATATTCCTCACATGCATATGCAGAGGAGAAGAAAAAATGAAGAAGAATATAAGAGAGAGAAATCAGACCCAGAACCACCAGTGGAACCCACCCAACTTCTGTAAATGACCAAAATTGCTTGCCAGAACAAGGTTTTGAAAATGGCTCCCATTTTGTCACCATTCCTCTCTACAAAAACCTTCAACTCCTCCCCCCAACCTCACTTCCTTTACAAACTTCCCAAAAACCCCTCTCAAAGAAAAGAAAAATTCCCCATTGCCATGCCCAGACCACAACAAAGATTCCGCGGTGTCCGACAGCGCCACTGGGGCTCCTGGGTCTCGGAAATCCGCCACCCTTTATTGTGAGTAGTTAATCCCTCCGAAAGTTATAAGTTTGAATCTTCGCTCTTTTGCTAAAGAAATATATAACTAATGTAGTTTTTGACAATGTAGGAAGACTAGAATTTGGCTAGGCACATTCGAGACGGCGGAGGATGCGGCGCGGGCCTACGACGAAGCTGCACGGCTGATGTGCGGTCCAAGGGCAAGGACTAACTTCCCTTACGACGCGTCTCTCTCTCGTTCCTCCTCTTCTAGACTCCTCTCTGCCACCTTGACCGCCAAGCTCCACCGCTGCTACATGGCATCGCTGCAGCTAACCAAGCAATCCTCCGCCGTCCATCGACCTCTGATCAACCCAATCCAAACCGATGCTACTGTGGCCTCTAGCATTGCCCCGGCCAACCGAGTGGCACCCGAAGCGACCCCGATGAAAGTCAAACTGGAGAGCGGCGATTGCGGGCAGCCGTTGATGATTGAGATTCTGGATGATGACCACATAGAACAAATGATCGAGGAGCTGCTTGATTACGGGGAAATTGAGCTCCGCACGGCCATCTGACAGTTGACCGTTAAGTCGTCTGATCTTCTTACTTCAACTATAAATTTTTATTTTCCCTAATCATGTACAAAATATCAATTAATTTAGCTAATTTAACCCCCCCTTAAAAAAACTCGACTTTTGATCGTTTGAGGTCATTAATTTGCTCCTGGCCACCCAGATTTGTTTGTCTCTGGTTTGCCAATTGAGTGGCGGCTCCCAAGTTTACTTTATGTACCTTTTAATTATGAAGTCATTAGTTACTTAATTACTGCACTTTTTTTTAGATTTAATCAAAATAGTCTCATTTAATCTATTGATTTCAATTTAATGCACTCATCTGTAGAGGGCAAAAAAGTTGGGGACGCTACGATTTCTCTTTTCTTTTCTTTTTTTGTTTTCTGATAAATCACTTTCAATGTGCAACAAAGTCAAATTCTACAAATACGTACAATGCCATAGACTATTTAAATATTAGTGATATAAAATAAGGTAAGTTTCATTGAAACCACAAAAAATAAATTAACTGCAACTATATACTAAACTCTGCTTTTGTCGTCGAGTGTGATACCGCCACTTCACCTTTCGTGTTCAATTATTTTTCAAGACTTCCAATTTTTCTTTTTTCTTCTTTTTCTTTCTATATAAAAAACATTTATTACATTTAGAAAAGGCCCCCTCTTCCGAAAAAAATTATTTTTTATTTATTTATTACCGCTAGGGGCATTTAGTACTAGGACAGTGAGCCATCTTCATAATTTTCCAATAGTATGATATATTTTTTTTAATGGTTTGCTTTTGATTATTTAACCTCAAATGTACTATTTCAAACAAGATATTAATTTTTAATTTTTATACCATGAATATTCCTCACTCCCATCGTGGACATTATGTTGATCTCTTCTTAAATATTTTGGAATGATGGTTCTTTTTAAAATATTACATAAATAAGAATTAAAAAGATTCAAATCTATGACCCGTTAAGATGAGGTACGTATGTCTACTTAGTTAAAAAAAGGAAAAAAAATAAAAATGTCTAACTATTTGAATCATGTTTAAATTACGTGATGAAAGATTGTCGGTAGATGCAAGGCTAGAAAAGAATAGTTTTTTAATTTTTGTTTCAAATCGTCTATAAAAATAAAAAATAAAAAAAAAAAAAGAAGAAGAAGAGCTTCCTCTCGAATTGTCTTTATCAAGAAAGAAGTAGATCTCCATGGTAAAGTTTTATCGAAAAAATAATCCTAACAAATATAAGTATTAAAGGTAATAGTCGGAATCACCTTACATTTTCCTTCCTAAGTAATATCATCATTCCAAGCAAATAATAATAAAAAAAATATTTGATATGCAATTACTTGTACCAATTTCAACATGACTTTATTGATTAAGACATAAAATAATATTTTAAGAGGGAAGAAGGTCAAATAATTTCCACCTTATTATTGATGAGCTCAACTTGAACAAAAAAAAGTAAAAATAAAACGTATATAATAACTTAAAAATGATTCAAAATGGGACAAATGAAATCAATATAAGCAAAACATTTTATGGTAAAGCTTCTTGAATTTCTTAAATTAAAGCTTCAACCACTAATGTCACATCATCGTAGAAGGAGGGGACTATTGAGTTGAAATTGGGTAATGTTTGTGTGACATACTTGTTTACAATTGAAAAACACTAAGGATCCCACTTTATTTTATTTAATAATTGGAGTAACAAAGAGGACAATGGAAAAAAGGGTTTGAGATTCACACGATATTTCCTACCTTTATGACTTACGTGTTGGAACTCCCAAA